CACATGAGCTGCCTCCAATTTTCACGGTTTCTCAACAATATCCGTATTAACCTTTTCAGGGCGCGAAACCACACAGGAGGAAACCCCCCAGAGCAGTGGACTACACTGGACACAAAGAGGATAAAGGCATCAATTATCGCTTAAATAAACTGTGAAAGAAATACAAATAAAATAAAAACCAAGAGACAAATTTACTCTGCGTTTCAACCCTCCGCTGTCTTTGGGTGGCACATGCCCTAAGCAAGTGTGTGTATCAGATTTGCAATTGTTATTAAATACATGCACAAAGGCAGCATCAGACAGATGAATTATTGAATGCCCTGCGGTGTATGTTATTCCTCTGGGGACGAACCACTCCGCCTCTGCCTCCACATGACCATAAGTGGCAGCAGCAATCACCAGCGCTCAGGCAAGGTGACTTTTACAAATGTCAGGCCTCCCTCTAACACCACACCCTCTCTGGCAAGACAGAATGACGTCTGTCACTCCGAAGTGAGCGAGCACCCCATCTTATTACTCCTTTGGCCCAGGCAAAGAAAAATAAAAAACAGAAGTGGAAAAATGCAATTGGAAATATGACCATCATTATTGCTTGATGAAAAATACATCTTATCCTAAAGGGCCTGGAACTATTGCTGATTTAATGTTCAAAGGAAGCGTTTCTTAATTAGAATTATAAATTCCAGTGCACACCAGGAATCAGCTGCGGGCCACGTGTTTATCATAAATAAGTGTTTCTTCGTTCACTTGCAGTGCAAGCCCAGCCGATTTGCAGAACTCACCTCCGCGATTTTGAGAGCTACGGCACGAATCGTGTAATTATTGCTGCCTTATCTAGGCCGTGACATTGGTGGAGCTCACGAAATCCGCCGCAAACAAGCCTCCCGGAAGGGCCTCGGCCCCGCCGGAGCCCACCCCCTCCTCGGTGTTCCTCGGGGAAGGTCTCCAGATAAGGGGAGCTTCTGTCACTGACACCGGCAAGGCGATAGCAAACTCGCGAGCGATGCTGACCCCCGGCGATCAGGTGGCCGCCGCATGCGAGCCGCATCTCCCAGCCGCCCAAGGGGGTGGCCCTTCAGGACGCCGGTTCCTTTGCAGCCAGGTGGCAGCAATCAACAGCTTCATAATTTAAAGGAAAGTCAATCCTCGTGATTATGTCCAATGGCCCAGAAGCTGGTCATTAATACATATACATCCTGTCATCTCCATATGCATTTGGAACTTCTCCAACACTTTCACTGACTACCACTTACCACATAAAAGACTATAACTCTTCATCTTTTAACTTTTTTTCAACTATTATAGCCTTCCCTAAGACACTGGAACTTCTCATAACATATGCAAAATAAATATATAAATGAGAATGAGTCTATTTCACTGGAGCAGTTCCAGATCTGTACCTCTGGGGCAGGACAGCCTGGTTCCTACCTGGACTTGAATACCCAGCCTTCTGGATACAGTTCTTTAATTTTAATGCTTCCTACCATCTGTTCACGAAGCAGAAATGACCATTAACTAACAAGTACGATACCAAGCAGACGTCCAGAGGGAAGCTCAAATCAGCCAAAAACGACTCACATGACAACATAAAAATCAGACAGTAAGTGATGTCTGGCATTTAGGAAAGAGACAGATTACATGACACTTTCCCGTTATATCCTTCTGTTCCAGGGGCCAGTGACATTGCTCAAAATTACCGCAGGGGTCACATTACTACTTTACTACATTAGAGATCATGGTGCTGATCCGAACTACATTAGAGATCACGATGCTGATCCAAATTACATTAGAGATCACAATGCTGATCCAAATGACAATAAAGATCACAATGCTAGTTCAAATGACAAGATCACAACAGTGATCCAAAATACATTCCAGACCACCAATGCTGATCTAAACTACATTAGAGACCACCAACACTGATCCAAACGACAGAGATCACCAACACTAATCCAATCTACCACAGGTATCAGTGACACTAATACAAACTACATTAGAGATCATCAATGCTGATCCAAACGACATTACAGATCACCGATGCTGATCCAAACTACATTAGAGATCACCAAAGCTGATCTAAACTACATTAGAGACCACCAACACTGATCCAAACGACAGAGATCATCAACACTGATCCAATCTACCGCAGGTATCAGTGACACTAATACAAACTACATTAGAGATCATCAATGCTGATCCAAACGAGATTACAGATCACCAATGCTGATCCAATCTATTGCAGGTATCAGCGACACTGATCCACACTATTGTAGGGGTCATCAGTGCTGATTCAAAGGACAGCACCAGCTCTTGCAGTTTTTTGCACTTTTCTCTTTCATGGAAAGAGCAGAAGCTGGCAGTCATGGCAAGAGGTGAAGTCCAGGGTGTCTGCGATACCTCCTCAGAGGATCCGTTACAGTGCAGCTTGGTGCACTGTGCTTGATTACCCGCATGTGAGCGACCCACAAGTGGGGAAAGTCGATCTGTGTGACTCATGCCTGGAAACTCAGGGTGTTCATGTTGTCACTGCCTGAGGTAGACAGTGATGACAGGATGAAGATTAAGGAACGCTGTATATCGAGCCTGTCCCTCTGTCATCAATCAGAGGCGGATTGCTCTCATACAAGCCTAAAAATGGTACCTGGTCAAACAAAAGGAAAGGAACTTCAAAAGGAAGTTCCACTAGGGTTTAAGTGTGACTTCTAGCCATAAAAATGGCCACAAGGGTGTGACAGAAAGCAATGGTCTTTCACAAATATGATCTGTGCGGTAAATATAAAAAATTTATAGTCAACATTTCAGTAGGGTGCACACATGAATTAATAATCTGAACATTGAGTACGGCACACACTTACAGGCATACATACAAATGCGTGTACATGATTTTTAAATGGTTTTTCAGTCCAGTAAAAAAAACATTGTAAATTGGAAGATTCAAAGCATGAAAAGATCAGAGGGTCTAAGAAAGAACATGGTGTCATGTTTAAAGTTTAGACACCTCCTCCAACGTGCTAAACGTTTAACTGTGTCCTTTGATTTTTTTTTTTCTGCTTCCTACGGCATTTTCCAGGGGATGTGCAGCGGAATTAGTTAACGGGTTTGAAGCAAATCTTCTGCCAACCTCCAGTCTAAAGCAGATGAGGCCCATACAGCACGGACCACAAAGGGGAAGCTCTCCCCATTGTACACACCACCATCCCCTCCCCCAGTGTTTAAAATTCTGCTCATGAGTAACTCTGCCAGTGCGGCTGGCGACCGCTTGGCTTCAGCTCTCTCATCTTCATTCCCACTCGATAATGAACACCCCCCCCCACACACACACAACCCCCGTGAATGCCGCATGGAGTCCCGCCGCACTCCCCAAGCTGTCTTCTCCCTCTTCCTCTTCATCCGCCGGGGCCGCCAGCCTCTGCCCTCCGGGTGGTATAGAGAGCAAGGGCTTGAGATTTCAGCGGAACATTCCGGAAACACCGCACGGCCCCATTCTGCGTGACAGGTGAGGGGGTTGCGGGAGTCTCGGGAGCGAGGGTCGGATCACCGAGGCCAGCGTGTCGATTACCTCCATCTGTCCATCATTCCCAGCGAGGTTTATAAACTGGTCTGTCCAATTTTTTTTTTTTATCCGAGGAACACAGAAGATGCCCCAATACACACCGGCCTCCAAGCAAACACCCTGTCTTCACTCTGTCTGCTCCTTTCTGTTCAGTCCCCAGCTGAAACAACAGAGTTCTTTTAAAAAACATGCCACTGGAAGCTGGCCCGGCCTGATCTCCCCCGTAAAGGACACTCCCCACCCAAATAAAGATTCCACTGGCTGCCTGGCCTTTATCCAGAGGCTCTTCTTACTGCTTCAGATGCTGCCTGTGAGCTGCACAGCCTTCAGACTGTCACCATCGATACGCTCATGTCCCAGAATGTTCCACAAGGAAGCCATATGGTGAAGACAACAAAATCCAAACTCTTAGTATCGACCACATGAGCTGCAAATGTTTAACCTGAGCCATTGTTTCAGAACGCATACACGTATTCAGTATAATTTGTCTTAAAAATTTTGACTATATGGTTCAGGGAGTCCATCTGAATTCAGCCAAGAAATGTGGGTTATTTATCCATTCTGGGATAGCAACTGCTGAGATATGCAGCAAAACAGCCACATCTCAGAATAGACCATATATTCACTATATCAGGGTTATTCAACTCACGGTCCTCGAGGTCCGAGCACTGCTGGTTTT